TGAATGTCCTGTAGGTCGAACTTTGTTCCCACTTTATGACCCCCCCCCCCCCCCCCCTCAGAAGAGGGAAGTATGAAATAAAAACGTTAATTTGAGAAAATTGGATTTCGCAGATATCCCCCAATGTGATTCAGTGTGGAAGAACCAAGGAACGCAACCTCTGGAATCATCCTTTTTGGCTTTAATGTGACATATGCAAGTTTGTCACAAGATTGTCAGATCACAAGTCTCTCCATTTTGTTTTCCTCCGAAGCGACATGTAATAAATAGAATGTTTTTTGGCCGAATGTTTAATTTTTACCTCCGGTGCTGTCTTAATTACTTGCGCAGTTGATGTACATGTTGTAGTATTAGTCATGAACTGTGTGCCAAACTTCGTGGACAGTTTGCTGTCAGGGGATTTCATGTTTTTTCCTTCTTGCAAGGCTACCGAAGTGTGCTTGGATTGAGTCACATACCACATGGGTTATATTCATTTGAGTTGATGTTCGTGTGGTTGTAATTTTCTTTCTTGCATTTTGTTTTGCATGGGTGGGTCGGAGTTGTGGGGGGGGGGGAGGGGAATTCATCAACTTCCTCCCAGGACTGGCAACAGTTCATTTTCCCATGAGAGTGCTTGGTGTATTATGACCTAATACCATGGCGCTGCTAAGCACGTGATTTTCCGCTAACAGAGCCTCCATCTATTTCATGAAGGCTGTCGGCAGTAAGCACATTAAAGGCGTGCTAACCTCGTAAGAAAATTTGATTCATAAGTTTGTGACCTACGGTCATCAAATCTATTTCTATACATGCATAACAACATGGGCGTAGCAGGGTCATTTTTACTGGGGGGGGGTAAACATTTCTTGAAAAGGGCACTCGCACATCTGTGCTGAAATGTAGACAGGTTTTTTTCTCTTGGCCTCCGTAAAATTCAAATTCTTGGACCATCTTTTAATGAGGGCGCTGTTCAAAGTGGATGATCATACACACTATCGGACAATATATGACGTTTTTCAGGACGGCACACGCACGAAATTCCCAAAAGGGCACTCGTTACAGCCGCTAGTTAAAAAAAAAAGGCACTCTTATGTGTACAAAGGGCACTTGTTTAAAAGACAGGGCACTCTTTAAAAATATTGGGGGGTGGTAAACACTGGTGAAAAAAAGGGCACTTGAATGGAAAAGGGCAATCTTTACAAAATATTGGGGGGGGGGGGGAATAACCCTTCCCCCCACTGGCTATGCCACTGTGTCCATGCCATGAAGTAGTGTCTAAGGTTAGCTAATTTTCCCGCTTTAGTAAGCACAACATTTCTGCTAACGGTTAAGAATGAAACTGAGCCATGAAATCGGGCCTTGAAGTAATTACAAAATGTAGCAGGGATGTGTGCACCATCATTACTATGTGACTTTGTCTAACTTGCGTACTTCCGAAAATCTTATTGACTGCTTTTGACAGTATCTATCGGCACCCGCGACTGGCTTTCTGAAAAACACCCTATTACCTTGAAAAATGGACTTACTTTGAAGTTCAGAGTGATTAGAGCGCCTAAAATGTGAATTCATTGCGTGATTCGCTCTTGTCCTACATGACAATGCATTGATGACAGACAGAAGATACATGTGTGTGTGGCCCCAGCCTGTTTGCACCGCCCACTACTTTTACTGTTTGTTGCAAGGTCTGTCCAGAAACATTGATTGTATTGTGTGGGCGGCAACATACTGGGTGAGTCAAAAATAAATTGCCCGAAATAGAGAAAATATGTGGCTCGACCCATTTCATAAAAATAAAACAGGGATAAAGTTATTGACTTGTAGCTGTGAAATTTTCACGTAATTTGCACACTCTTCTCCCAAGTTATGTCTGAGTAATTTTTTTCTGACGAAAGTTCGTGGAACTAATTATATGCCCAAGTGCGGCAAGTTGGTTTTGCGCATTTCTTTTCAACGACTGTTTCTTCAAGCAGTAACATGAAACAGCCATCGAATCGGTAGTTTTGATGTGTCTTGCTTAAGATGGGTTTGGTGAATTGGTCTCAAGACGCGTCTTAGCTAAGATTGATCTCAGAGCAGGGACTCGTCTGAAGTCCTAAGATGAGTCGCGAGACGAGTTTCTTGAAATCGGTCCCAGGTGAAGCAGCAGCTGTACGAGAGGTGCCCAGTGTGTTGCACATGTTACCCTCGATTGTTTCAGCCTTTTCGGTGGCAGTGCCGCCCTTACCTACCGGTACCTGGGGTGATCAAAAATCTGCCAAGTTGTACTTTCATTACCTTGGCTGTTCACTTTTGGCTGTTGTCCAAACAATTAAAACTAATAAGGAAATAAAATATAAAAATAAGAGGATATGAATATATGAACGTGAGAATGAAGAGGAACGACATGCAAAAAGGTATTTCAATGTTGACACGCACTCCACTCTGGGTAGATGGCCCAGACGGCGACAATGTGTCGACAAGAGATTTGCCAAGGTGGCCGACAGGTGGCTTAGAAGTGTAAGCGCTTAATTACCTGGCAAATTGCCAAGTTACAAACATGGGGATTCCTGTAGACTTACACCTTTCCTGTTGCTTGGAATTTTTGGTTTGACTTTTGTGACCTCCAGTTTTCTATTAAAAAAAAAACAACTTGGTTGCCCCCTCCCCACTCATCCAAAAGATTAATGCAAAAGTGCTGACCGTTCCAAAAAAGTGCTGACCGTTCCCAAAAATGCTGACACACCAGCGAATCTCTCAAACAGTTCCTGCTTCACCTTGAACATGACTTACAAGTCCATTGATAAATCCTACATAAGGCCAAAAAAAAAAAATATTTGGTCTCTGGTCAGACCAAAGTTCCGGAATTGACGCGGCCACGCGGCTTCTTTTTTTTTTTTTCTTCAAGCTTGGATTGTACAGACAAGGTGGGGTACTATTTTGCTTTTTTGGTGTCCTCATGTACATTGGTGTCCTCCATAATTTGCCTTGGTGCTTTCGATCATTTGCCTTGGTGCAATTTCCCATTCCTTGGTGCTCTTTGGTAAAAAAAAATTGAGGAGGTGCGGAAATAGAGGGCGCTGTTGGAGCTACCGCGGAACATTTTGGAGAAAAAAAAAGATCGACGCGCATGATTAAAATCGACGCGCGCGCTGACCAGAGACCGACTTATTTTTTTTGTTGGCCTAACATGACTGACAATTACAGAATGTCTCTTTTCATTAGCCATATGTTTTTACTAGGCTGCTGCCCGCACAATGTAGTCAATGTTTCTGGACAGATCTTGCAACAAACAGTAAATGTGGTGGGCACTTGTCTGTCATCAATGCATCGGTTACTCGCGTTACAAAAATGTAATGTGAGTAACCGATTTTGTGCATCTTGTTTATCATACATAACACATTTTTCTGGATGTCATCTTTAGTGCTTAGGTAGGTCTAGGTCTACTCTATCTACCATGGGGATAACAGTTATTAAACCTGTTTAGTAAGGTAATTACAGCCCAAGGAAACTCAAAAAGTACATCAAAAATGTAACGTGAGTAACCGTGGAATTGCCCAAATCCATTTTTTCAAGGTGATTGTGTGTTTTCAGAAAGCCATGTTGTCACTCCTATTAAACAGCAAGATTGACAAACTGAATCAGGTGGTTAAAAACGTGTCGTACATAAGTGGCGTTTACTTGAAGGACTTGAAGACAACATAGGAAAAGAGAATGAGGAATCGTGTCGAGGACATTAAGGACATTCATCATCCAGCTTATAACTTGATTCACCTATTTCCTTCAGGAAAACAAGGATGAGATTAATTAGTGCAAAAACTGACCGTTTTAGAAATAGTTTTATACCATCAGCCGTGCGGATTTTTAACAACAGAACATTTTTCATTTACATGATAGTTATTATAATTGTATATTGTTAATTGTACTAATTTATGTGTTCATTGTTTAATTGTATTGCATTTTTAATTATTAGGCGTTTTATGCCAGTCCAAGGTTACAAATTCCTGTGATTTGTTTGTAACATTGGCTGATTAAATCAATCTAATTTAATCGGATCGTCTTGAAAGAAGGCACTATACTTTGGAGTGCTTACTGTCAGAGACGTGGGTTCGAGCTCGCCGCGGACACTTGTGCCCTTAAGCAAGCCACTTAACCATTCTTGCCTCGTCCTTTGGATGGGACGTAAAGCTGTAGGTCACGTGTGTTGTATAATGCTCGTTAAAGAACCCAGTAACACTTGTCGCTAAAGAGAAGGGGTTTGCCCCGGTGTCCTGGCAGTGGCCGCAGCACCTTGTAAACCCTTAAAAGGTGCTACATAATGGGTCTCATATTTCTCATGTAAATAATAGACATAACTTCCAGTGCCTTGAGTACCTATACTCCGTTGCGATAATGCCTGAATAGGTTTCTGCAACGTAACCATACAGATACACAGATACAGATAATATCCGTAACATGCTATGGCAAGTTAAAGGGAATATACATCATTTGCTTTTGCTGTAATTTTCAGAAATGGATGGAATTGGGGGGTTGGAAATATGTAGCAAATATAGTTACACTGACTTTTTTGAGGTTTTGGGTTCGAAAATGCTATAAAAACCAAGAAAAACAATCATTTTCCTGTAGTCTGGTTCCCTGACTCCATTTAAGAAGAAACAGAGCAGTTTACATACATTGGGGAATTGTAAGGTCAGGGAACCAGTCTAGCTGGCTTGTACCCGTTCATAGGTGTGTAATCGATTGCAAACAAGTGCGATGGTCAACTGGGGCCAGTATTTGAAAAAAAGCCAGTTTTTTCCAACGCTGGTCGGCCGATCAGCGTTGGAAATTGATACAAAAATACCACTTTTCTTGAAAATGACAGTATACCAGGTGCCATGATTTTACAGGATGCTTTACACTGTCATTCACTAACAGTCCAGCAAGGTATTTCAAAATGATTTGGTAGTTTTATTTTTTGATGTTTGCAAATGTTGTATTTTCCCTTTAATATGACTTAACTTTTTTGTTTCCTTCTCTTTGTCGTCGATTTCTCGTTTTAGGAAGGTGAACAAGTCCTACCGCGGGAAAGCCTGCCCGATCGTGGTCCACTGCAGGTAAGCTGGGGAAACAGCGCCCTCGGTTGGTCAGTGTGTTATAACACCGAGTGACTTGGCAGATTTCCAGGGGATGCGTATTATCCTCACCCCGCTAGCTTTAACCGAAAAGAACAAGGGGGCCTTGGCCCAGGAAAATTAACTCAGACGCAGAACGCACCCCTGGGCCTAACTACTAGACTAGATAAGCCAGACATTATAATTGTCTTATATTTTTTTTTTTTTTTTTTTTTGGTGGTAAAGTCAGGCAGTATAGTAGGAGGTCGGTAGCATAAAACTCTATTGAATTAGCAAGCTATAATTTTTCATTCCTTTGCATTGCTTGTAAAATTTCCCAGGGAGTTGAAATGATTGAATGAAGGGTGTGTGCGTGTATTGCTTTCCTGGTGGAGACATTTAATCATATCCAGTATGAGAATTCCGTGGTCGTTTCTGGGTACATCTGTCGTAGATCTGCGGGATATCCAAACAGAAATCCTAGCATTGCCTCATTTTATATAAAGGTTGTAGACAACTCGCCGACCATTACATTACAATGTTCCCTTGACATCTATCAGCCGACCATCGTTGGACAAAACTGACTGTTTTCAAATATGCCCCCGATTTACCAAATTTAGTTAGCCCACATTGTGTTTGCAATTGGTTTAACACATCCGTGAACGGATGCAAGCCAGCTAGTCTGGTGCCCTGACCTGACAATTCCCCCGACATCTAAAAATTGCTCAGTTTCATCTGAAGTAGGGTAGGGAAACCAGACTACAAGAACAGCGTTTTTTTTTGGTGTGTTTCTTTTTGGTAGTATCTATGTACACAAAACTTTAAACAGGCCATTGCAACAACATTTGCCATAAAATACTAACCCCCAAATCCATCCATTTCTGGAAATTATATTAGCTTTAAATTTGGCAAGTTTGTGCCCTGTTAAGATGAGAAACAACACAGTGGTTTTGGAGTAGGGGTGTTAAGTTTTTCCAAGGCACATAGGAAATTGGCTTGTACATCATGTCTGAGGGTCGGTCAGTTCACTGTGTCTGGTCTCGCTAATACCCTAATCCTTGGGAGTTGGTCCCCCAAAATATGTCTGTCAATTTGGGCGAAAATTTGACCTTTTCTGCAAAGCTACCCGAGGCGCGAAGAAAAAACTGGCGATTTCAGGATTACAAATATATTGATAGAGTTGTCTGTCTACCCCTTGGGTGACTGGAATTAACTGTTCATTATAGCCACTTAGTTGGTGTAGCACTTGACTAGTGGCACAAAGGTCTGTGGTTCATGTTCTGCCTGTTTTAAATTTGCTTGCCCGTTCATAAAACATGTACATTTGGTTTTTGTTTTTTGAAGGGGAAGATCTAAACAAGATTTGAAGGTTTGCACAGTAAAGAAGGTTTACGATAGCATCGTGTGACAAATCGCTTTAGCGAGTTTGTGAGGTTCTGTAAAGAACCGAAATTCGGAAAAGAACCGAGGTTCTGAAAAGAAACCGAGGTTCTGAAAAGATCTGAGGTTCTGAAAAGAACCGAAGTTCTGAAGAGAACTGAGGTTCTGAAATAACCGAGGTTCTGAAAGGAACCGAGGTTCTGAAAGGAACCGAGGTTCTGAAAGGAACCGAGGTTCTGAAAGGAACCGAGGTTCTGAAAGGAACCGAGGTTCTGAATAGAACAGAGGTTCTGAATAGAACCAAGGTTCTGAAAAGAATTGAGGTTCTGAAAAGAACCAAGAGAAGATTTAAAATGAAAACTCCAACCACTTACTTCGTGTCAGAAGCTCAGGAGGAGTGTGTTTTGAGGGGTGAGGGAGGGGTGAGGGGGGGGGTAGGGGAGGGATGGGGGTAGGGGAGGGTGAGGGATGGGGGTAGGGGAGGGGTGTCTAGTACCCCTCCTGACCAGTCTATGATTGAATGACTAACAGACATCACAGATACCTGTAGTATCAGGACCAAGGTAGGGGGGGAAACGAGGGTCTGCCATTAGGTTATGTTTCCTGCCACATACGTACATCACTGCATACACCAGACGGGGTTTGCAGGAAGTATGACATTTGGGAGTTCCGATTGGTGGACAAAATTATTCTTTTGTTGGGAGGCCTCTAACTTTTTTTCTCAAACAGATTCACTACAAATGCAAGCTTCTTTTCTCTCTATTATTGTTCTACAAAGTTTAACTTGAACTTCTGGCAAACTGGTAGTTTTTGATCGATTTAAATTCCAACGAAGCATGACCTATTGGCCAAATTGGATGTGGTTTAAAAGTTATTTATAAAAACTTGTTGAGAACATTAGCCAAATGTGCCTCCTAAATTTCTTAAATTTCCTAACATTTCTGAAAAGAATGCATACATGCCGACAGAGACAATGTTTGATTAACGAACAAAAGGTCAACACATTCCTGTCCTTACTTGTATAACTAAAAAAAAATGTTATTTAAGATAGCAGCTAGATATTAGGCTTTAGAGAAAACTCAATAACTTTGCAAAATATTCTTTAATCCTCTTAGAAAGTTAGATTTCATGTTTTTTTTTATTGTGGTATCTATCTGTGGACACTATCATGACAGAGTTTGATCGGACTGTGTTTGACAAGGCAAGAGTACCAGTTGATTTTTCTACACAAACATTGTAATCAGTGGATCCTTCCGCGCTTAATAATGGACACCAGCTTACCGGCTGTAACGACGTCAAACCTGTCACCCCGCCCGTCATTGTTACATCGTCAGAAAAGTCTGAAAGAAAAACAGGATATTACTACTGGCTGTTTAAAGCTAGCCCCTTCCTCGCCCTCCCCTTCAACTTCAACCTAATAAACTTACAAAAAGCCGCAGAATCTTGACCGAAGACCTCAAGATTCTGAACGTCTTAAAAGACGAAGCGCCTAAACCCTGGGTCATATCACATATTCAACTAGACATCCTCCTAATACCCCAACTGAAAATTCTTCATCGGTAGGGGTGGGGAGCAAAAAATGAGAGCAATAAAAAAAAAACACGGTTCCCGAGCGTCAAGTCCGTAATTACGTGAGTCATTTCCTTTAACCCCTCCACTATTTGCCAGAGTTAATTCTTTTCCAGACTCAAAAAAAAAAAATCTAGCCTGTTTTAGGAAGGAGTTGGCCTCAGGTCATATGTGTCGTTGAACACATAAAAAAAACTGGAGATATTTTTTCATTTGAAAGGCGGGAAGTTATTTACCCTTGGGGCAAGGGGAGGGGAAATCACCGATAAGACAGGTATATAATTCCATCCGAGCTCGTTTAAGACAAAAACACCAGTGTGACTTCAGTGAAACGCTGCTGTTCCCATAATTTTGAGTTAAATGTCAAGGGAGTTGATTCTTAGACTCTTTCTAATTCTGATGGCAAAAGTTTTTGAGATGATTTTCCTGTCCCGTTCATTCTTCCAAGCTTGAAGTTATGAAAATCGTAAATAAGTGAGATTGTCTACGAAAAATTCTTCTGTGAACCAATTTTAAAACCAAAAATCTTATAAGTGGAATTTGTTGTTGTAAATATCATCGAAAGGCTTGGGTGTATTGTCTGGTAGCTTGGTGATGGAAATGTGTCTTTGGTTTTCATGATTTCGAACTGAGCCCAAGCTTAGAGATCTGTGGACTTATGTCCTTGAGGAGGACACTTTATCACAATAAAGGAGCAAATATATAGCTGAAACGTGATGTTATCTTTGTGCGTCGTTAATCACAGTTAAAACAGTTATTTAGGGGCTAAATATACTTCCCAAAGATTTTCGATTCAGGAATAGTTATAAGCTGTCCAATCAGAAGTAATAATATCACACCAAATACGATGTTACCTCGGCTCAAATTCGCGGGTTGACGTAATTTTAAAAAAATGTTTTAAATAACCATTACGTAATCATTTCATAAAACAAAGTTAGTATAGCTCTTTCCAGAGCTAGGGCCAAGTTTTCTCAGAACCGTTGATGACTCAATTAAATCATCGTTTTGATATTTTTTTTTTTGTGTCCGCAGCGACGGAGTCGGGCGTACAGGCACCTACTGCTTGGTAGACATGGTGCTGACGCGCATGACTAAGGGCGCCAAGGAGATTGACATCGCGGCCACACTGGAACACATACGGGACCAGCGGCCAGGCGCCGTTAAACTGAAGGTAACGAGACAATTCATCACTTTTAATTAATTTTGGAGAAGTTGTTGGATGCATCATGTGGAGTGACTAACCTTTCAAAAGAAAATTTGTTCTGAAAAAAAATAAGACTTAGAAAGTTGAACAAAGAAGTTGACTGGAGCGGGGTTCAAACTTACGTCCTCCGGAACACCGTATCGGTGCGCTACCAACTGAACTATCCGGCCGTATGTTGACGGCTCCCCGTTATGTAACTGTCTTTGTTCAAGAAAGGAAGACGTAAAGAAGATAAAAAGAAAAGGTCAAAGCTTTGCTCAAGAAAAGGTCACAGCTTTAAAGGTAAAGGGGACGAACCTGTGTTCACAGGAACGGAGTTCCCATCTCTCTTTCGAAGCGATTTGGCCAGACTTGAAGTCACGAAATGCTGCTGTGGGAATTGCCACACCTCCTCCACAGTGAGTCTGTTAGCTTCCCAGCATTGAGTAATGCCGGTACCCATTAACACCTGGGTTTAGAGGAGTAATTGAGGTAAAGCGCCTTACTCAAGGGCACAACACGCATGGCCACGGCAGGGCTCGAACCCACAATCTCACGATCATGAATCCTGTGCCCTACCGCTAGACCACACGTGTCCACACAGCTTTGGTCAATGCTAAAAAATTTGCCATTCAGTTTAGAAACTTACGGGTTGCCATTCCCAAAAAGAAAAGGCGCGTCATCTTTTCACAATTTCAAATTACAATCATGTCACACATTCTGAAGTATACTTTGCCCTGACGCCAAATTCCATCAGCAACTCACTTCCTTTTACATCCCAGTTCTCATTATTTATGGATATTGCATCTAATCATTTCTACTTTTAATAGGTCCAACTTAGTTAACTCTGGTCATATTACCCAAATCCACTCTAAAAATGAATGGCTCGCGGTTACAACAATATTTGTTTTGCGTTCACCGCAAACGCCTTTTCAGCTACCCTGGATCCACGGCCCCAACTGTTCGCATCGATACATTAAAAAATATCATCATAGTTTGATGGCGTACTTCCTATTTTTTTCATCCACTGTCAAGAGCGATCCATCAAATGCTGAGACGTAGATTGACAGCTGTGCTCTCTCCCTTCCTTCCCCCCTCCAATGACCCATCCCTGCTGGACAGGCATTTCCTCTTGACCCTTTTTATATGAATGATGGACAGTGACGTAATGCGGTCCGATTTGCTGGGGTGGACATTTGAAGAGTGGGGGCCACTGGGGAAACCTCATATTCATGAGGGGAACCTCTTTTTGTATGAGGGGACATTCCGTGGCTTTTAACAATGAAAAACTCATTTTTGTCTTCACCCTTATTGACGAGCCTGTGGGGGTCGTTGCCCCTCCCCCTTCCACCCATATGTCCTCATGTGTCCTCAGAAGCAGTTGGAAAGCTAAACAAACAATCGCATGTCGTGTTTCAACTTGCTGATGTTTGTAACATACACTGACTGACAACAAATGGAAGTGGACTGAAAAAGACGGGTTTGTTGGATGTTGTGATTCACAACACGACTGGCATTCCCAATTGCTAACGGACCTGAGACTCGGTGATTGACAACGTCCGCCAGGTCTTTTGTTTTATTCGCTATCTCTAAACTTGTCCGGAAGTTCACAAACAAAGCAGCCAGAGTGTAGTACATGTATGTTGTCAAACGGGCCGATGTTTCGATCGGTTAAGCTCCTGATAACCGAACGCCTTCCGGTCTTCTGTCAGTGCCACATTGTGTCCTAGGCTTGTCTAAGATCACAAAGGCTGTCCTTGTTGTCTTAATAAATCCTCGAATGTCTGGTCGATTGGGTTAGTCTGGCCTGATTGTTGTTTTGTTCTTCCTTTGTGGGAGACTGGGAGTAGAGCTTCAAACTCATCTGGCATTACAGCTGTCTGGTTGTAGACAGTCGAATTGACTTTGATGTTGAAGTACAATGGTTGCTTATGTTGAGGTGATAGTTTCCCCCGAAATCGGAAAAGGGTTCAAAAACAGAAATGCTTTTTTTAAAACCAATTTTAGGTTGTTTTTTTTATCTGGCCCGATACATTCTGTTATGAACTCCAGAACAAAACTTTTTTTTTCCATGTAATTTTATTCAGGAAAACAAATTAGAGCTGGACTATTCAATGGGTTGAGCTGTGGTGTGGTATTGTGGAGATCAGAAGTTCGAAACTCACTTCAGTAAAAAAATTTGTTCAACTGAATCTTTGTTTCTCATCTGTGGATCCTTTGATGTTTTCAATTTTTTTCTTCTCCTTTGGAATTATTTTGTTCTGTCCATGATAAAAATAAAGTGCGAGTGATTCAGTGCATTACATGGAGGGGGGGGGGGAGTTTAGGGGAATGATTATTATTAGGGTTAGGGTAAGGGTTACTGGTCAGTGTGCGTGTGAACTTCGAAAACACCTGTGGTTACTTTGCTTGGACCGTTGACTTCTCATTAATAGCTTTGGTGCCAGCAGGTAGCAAGGACTACTCAGACCGATTTCTGGCCATGTGTTACTGCCCGTTATGCGGAGTTGGATGCGTGCAAACCGTTTTGGATCGTCGATTAAAAGATTTTATTTTTGAGATTGTTATCTCGAGCATATTGGACACCGATCCTAGAGTTAATGTTGGCCCACCTGGCAATGCCATTTCAAGATGACCTTCGCTGTTCAGCCCCCTCCCACACACACACACACACACACAAAAAATTACTAGTAATACAGGAAAGGAAATATAAAATTATTAATTTTGTAAATAATTCCTGGGTGAGTAATACTCTATCGCTGATGAAGCCGTCAGCTCCGTACTCTTTTCAAAGTTATGAATTTGGTAATTTTGGCATTTGATCAAAAAAGCACATTACATTTTTTTTCTTACAAGATTATTTAGAAAAGGAAGTGCACATTTAAATCAAGGTTTTTTAGTTTGAACTTGAGCCACTGCTAAGCTTAATGGACTAAAATTTGAAGCCATTTTCGAGCATTAGCGTTCATGCTGCAGGTGTTCATAAAGACGAGGCCCGCATTTTTTGGTAACACTATTGGTCGAAGGTACCCGGAGCGCATGCGTACTACCTGAAGGCGACTCGCAGGAGGCCTGGTGCCAGCTCGGAAAACAGCTGTCACCAAATTAGTCTGTTGTTATTATCAGCTGGTGTTGGCAATCAGTAGGTCGCTAATTATAAACTTAGGGTCACGTAACCGTTCTATATCTCTCAAATGACGTCACTGGCTACAGATTGTCACGTGCATCGGCCCGGAAGTCAAATTTACATGACGCGCATCGGCTGTGCCGTATTTCAAAGAAATGTCAAGGGACGTGCGCGCGTGTTTAGAACATTTTGCTCACTGCACGCAAACATACCTGATGGCGTTGAATACGCAGTTGTAATTTTCCTTCGAAGATGGCTGTCTATGCTGCCAGTCACGAGTAACAGCGGCTAAACAGTAACGAAGAAACGCCTTTATCATCGTTCATGTTCATCTTGTGGACTAGGGACTGGATGAATTGTAATGAACATGTGTGACTACAAAACTGTAACAGCCAGTGATTTATCATAAATCGCTCCAATGTCTTTCCGTTTAATACCACTAAGAAACATCTGTGTCTCTGATGCCATGGTTACCGCATCTTCCATTCTCTCTCTCATCTCCCCCACACAGGAGCAGTTTGAGTTTGCCCTGACGGCCCTCGCCGAGGAAGTCAACGCCATCCTGAAAGCCCTACCGCAGTGAGTCCGCCCGTCGCGACCAACACAATCACGTCTCCCAGATCACTACACGACCAACCACCGTAAAAACAGTGACAACCATAAAATGAAACAAAAAGTGCGTTCATCATCGCTGACAGAATGAACCAAAGAAAGAAAAAAAGGAAAATAGCCACTTGTACAGAGAAAACGGTGTAACAGATTGTATGATAGTGCAGGAGTTTATTATAAGACTATTGGCCAATACACTTAGAAACTTTCAGGTCACATGTGCAAGGGTTTATAGGAATCATAGGCTGTACTCCCTGACATGGGTTAATTTGAAGATTTCATGCCAAAAAATGACTACATTTTTGTCTTTTTTAACCAGTTCCCCAGATTACCTGTTCAGTAAAGGAACACTAATTTTTCGAGGCATCATGCGTGTCAGGTTTGAAGACCGAAATTTTTTTCATGCGTTTTCAAAAGTGCAATCAGATGTTTAATAATGATAAAACAGCACTCTTCCAGTTTCTGCGATCAATCCTCGTAAATGTATTGAAAGCACATGACTCATTTAACTGTGATTGATTGAAATAGCAAAACATAAAAACTGTACTTCGGACTTTGTGTATTATCATTCTACTGTACAGTCAGTACTCTGTAGATATATTTATTTCAGCTCTTTCTTACACATTCCTGATGATTCAGGTAAAAGGTGAAAGGTTATTAAGGGGGGAGGTATTTTGTTTAAAGTTTCTGGGCAGGTACCGCCCCAAGGAATGGCGCCTAACACCGTTGAATCAAAGCCTTTAGATGCCAAGTTGTCCGCAGGTGTGTCGCGTTATTGAATTTTTATTGAGCTTGAAACAATCTTCTTACACCTGTTCTGCCACCACCCTGGGGGGAAGGGGGGAGGGGAAACGTCAACTATCCAGTCAGGCCATCAACCGAACTGACAAAGCTTGATTGTGACAGGTGCTCATACCTGCAACATGTGGTCGCAGTTTACTCTCCAGGAAGTAATTGATAATATTGACGTGCGCACGGGGAAGGGCTTTCTCTTGTAATGGGGGCGAGGTTATTGCGAACAGGAATCCTGACAGATAAGACGGCAGGTTTTTTCTAACTTCTCGCCACGGGTCATATTTCTTCACATCGTTTCTTAATTACTTGCTCAAATTGCCGGCATTCTGGGAGTGATTCACTGATTTGACGCCTTGACTTTCGAAGCCCAGAATAACTATATGAAATCCCAAGTGAATTTCTCTTTCTTAAATTGTTGTTTTCCTCTGTGGTCAAAAAAAAGGATGCAGTGATGTGTCCCTCAGAATAACTGACCCTATTTTGACAAAAATCTGCCATGGCGTGAAAAGATAGTGAGACGGTCACAAGATGTGTAAATGATTTATTGTATTAAGAAAAACAAAAAACCAGGTAACTGCCAGTGCAAAGATATTGCAACTTCAGTGAACTTAAAAAGTGAAGTGGCGACAACTTAAAAACTGCGGCTGGTTGGTGTAACGGCCATTGAAGACAACTGTTTAAAGTAAACAATATATGTAAAAATAAAAATATAGAGATTTATCAAATGTATGATAATGAATCTTGTGATTGAAATTCCGTAGAGCTATGAAATAGTAGATGTTTTCGTCCATTGTGAGTGCTGTCATTGGATTTTGTGCAATTAAAATAATGCTGTATGTGAAATTGTGAAGAAAAAAAATGATCATAAAAGTCATCAATTTATGGAGAGTCAGGATTTCCTGGGCAACACTTCCGTATTCCTGAAACCTGAATTTCCATGGCAATGCCGTTTTAAAAACTTTATCGTCACACTAACAACTATGAATGACGACCTTTTCATACATGTAAAAACTGTCATATTTTACAGTTTAAGGGATTCCGATTCTGATGATATTCAGTTTACAAAACTTTTTTTTGAGTCCACATTCCCAATGTCCTCAGGAAAAAAGAAATCATTGCAATATTTTTCCAGTAATGATTTTTAAAGTATAAGCAAGTGAGTTTTCAAATCTACAAATATAAATTCATGAATATGTTGTGGAACATAATTTGCATGATAATGATCATATTTCCACATTGTATTCTGAATACATGCATGACAGTCTTAAATTGCATGGTTAATAATGTTGAGTAAGTACTTTTCATTTTCACATTGATAGCATCAACTATCAGCGCGTTGATTTTATCAAGGCATTTATCTTGTATATTTGGAGACAGTTTCATATTTATGTGACCATTCCAATATTTTGTCAGTACTCTGAAATGAAATCATGGTTTGCAAACCTCGTTTTTCAATTCCAAAAGATTCCACAATATGTGGAGAGACATAATAACATCTCATTAAATATCAGGAATCAATTGTAGATTGATTATTGATTGATTGATTAGAAAACTTAGTGCTGACTTGGGCTAAGCAAATATTGATTTCACTACATTCAAATTGTTGATATTCAGTGTGCCGAAGGGCTGATATGTACACCTATATGGCTCAACCAATTCATCAATGTCTTGGATTATATTTTTGAAAAATATTCTGTTTTAGGGTTTTTTTTTCTCAGAAGTTGAGTGAATATACTAACAAATTCTCCCAGCTGTCAATTTTTGTTTTATTTTTTTAGCCACCCAAATTGTCATTCCCATTTTTTATTTGTACATAAATCTGTTTTTTTTTTTAAGGACAAACCGTTACGTTAAATACCAAAACTGAATTTTAATTGCAATCTATGACGTTGAAACATCAAACTATGTTTAAAAGAAAAGTGTTAATTTTATGAATATGACATAATGAATTATGATTAAAGAAGTTCTCAAAGAATATGTAAATCATGTCAAATGTAAGAGCCAATCATTCAACTCAATGCCAGAATACGTAGTTATGAGTTCTTAAAAGAAGCTCTGTGATTGGTGGATACTTGTTCCATTTATTTTAGTGTATTTATTGACCTGTCCATATTAGTTAGTCGTTTTAGTTTTATTTATTATTAACTTGGATTACTAATGAGTAAAACTGAAGTCCAAAACTATCGCTAAACTAGGCATAAGTCCTGTATAATGTACCGCTTAACTTGCTTAGTTCAGTTTGTATTAGTTATTGTGAAACCGAGTTTAATATATGATGATGTCATCGTGTCAAAGGTCACGAGTCACGAATAAAAGCACTAGGCCTCCCTGTCTAGATATAAATAAGCAACTGGAGTCCAGCTTTGCATTGAAAATCGTTTTTATTTCAGTCGTCTTTTATATTTCCTGTGTCTAAAGAATATTTTAACAACAAACCCCCCACCCACTTTAACTCCCCGCCCCACCATGTTTACCTGGTCCTCTGGAAATGTAATGTCTTAATACGTCACGGGTACCAGTTTCCTGCCATGTTTATTTCCCAAGTTTGTGACGGCGCGGGAAAAAGCACGCGGCAAGTGCGTACGTCATATTTCGAGTTTGTGTTTTCACGTTGCTGCGGTGAGTCAACCAGTTCTCCCCATAATGCCCCTCCCTGTCCCCCCAAAAAGACTCTTTCGGAAATTAGGTACGCTTTAGCGGATACAGAGGACGAGAGTGCACTGAAGTGCATGTGAAAGGGCAGTTTAAGAACAGTCGGGGACCATGAACTTGAATTTCAGCCGCAGCTGCTGCCTGTTTTTGCACGTTGCACTCACCTCGAGACTACCCTTGACGAAAGAACAGCAGTTTAAGTCTCATCAGTAAGAAGTTAAGAACTCTCCTGAACCTGTTGATTCCACACGGTCCAATTTCCGGGATCAGTTTAATAGGCTTACAACATCCTTCCAGAAACTTGCATGTACCAAGCCAGGTGGTGAATGTCTCTCAAGATGCATGAGCGAGGAGTTGACATCGCTCTGTCATCTAGACACCAGTTTGTCCGCCAGCTTGCTCAGCTTTGCCGCCTCCTCGTGTGTTAACAGAGCTCAACCTTAAACCTGGTAAGTAATACGTTCCTTTTATGTAAAACTGAGAGTGCGAAACATACATGCACTGCATGTACATTACCGCCATCTGTTTGCAGACGATAGTTTTTGGCAGACGACCAAATTATACAACCGTCATTTTGGTCGTAGTCTGAGTGAGTGAATTCTCCACTGAAAAAAAGATGCCGTTTTGATCCAATACATTGTATTTTATATGGGTCTTTCCTAGAGGGTGTAACAATACATCTTACGAAATGTTTTGACAAAATGGTGGTAGGGCCTATACTGTATTTCATTTAAAAAGCACCGAAATGCGCTATGGCAAACCTTTTCACATTGGTAGTCTTCTATGTGCAGTTCAGAATGATAAAATGTTGTAGGCCTGTCCAAAGACAAATCGTTATTGCATCTGTATAATTCTTCCGGCTACATGGACACGGTTTATAGAGAACGCTTGGTTGTACGCCACAAGTGCCCTTGCCGTTTCATTCCGATGCATCATATCGTTTCTTTATAGGAACTATTTGTGGGTTTTGTCTCAGTATGGCTGCTGGCGTTTCGTCATGTTTCATTATTTTGAGCTGACGAATTGTTCACATTCACAGTGAAGCTAGTCTAGATTATTAGCCAATGAAAATCGTCACATTGTTCCGCGAAGCATCGTTTAATTTTTGTTTTTCCTATCGCGGTACTGGGGTATGTTGCATTAGTTTGAAATGTGCTCTAAGTAGGCCGTGCGATCATATTATTTTTAAGTATTTGTGATATTATTTATTGAAAAGAAAACAAAGAATATATCTGTCTCGATACTGGTTGAAGTTGACCGACGTGAGCAAATGCGGGTAACTTGAGCTTTGACTCAACTTCTGAAAGCGATGGGACACGTTTCCTCTATTGTTTGCCTGCACAGGTGTGCTCCCAAACCATTCGCTTGATCTTTTAACCTTTACAGACGAACAGGCGGTGCCGGCTTCAAATGAAAGAATAACCGCCATTCAGGAAATAGTCTTTTCTTGGCGAACATGAAAACATTTCCTCCATCAATCGGGACCTTTCCTGCACCTGTTTATGCACATTATTCGATCCCGTTGTGTATAATTTTACCCCTTAAGTCTCCCTTAGGAGTTTGAAGGATGTAGAAATTGTTTTATCGAGAGATTGTTTCTTGGAGTTCCGCTCCAAGCATGCAATTAATTTCACGGATGATTTCACGACAGTCTAGCATGTTCCGATGAGTAATGTGAGACATTTTTGCCCATTCGATGTTTGTAAAGGGCGACCTTTCATGAATTACATAAAGCTGTTGGCAGGTGGTAAAATGCGTTGAACTTTACTAAGGGGACAAAAGTAGCATGTCGCAAAATAGTACAGCGTACAGCAAGTAGTAATTCACGGCTTCACCGAATTAAAAACGAACTACTGGCGGAAATTGAAAAAAAAATGAGTTTTGAGACGCATCATTGGAAATGACCTTCTTTTGTTGTTTTCTTCAAAATGACAGTGTGCTAGAAAGACTAATTTCACAGGGACTTTATTGCCATTATCTTTAAACCAAGTAGGCCTATGCTTTTCAACAATAATTCCTCAGTTACTTTTTGGCTAGCTGCAAATGATATACCCTACCTTAAAGAATTACACTAATATAAAAGGAACCAGTTTCGGATTTTACTCGGGTCAAAGCTATAGTTTTTTGATGAACATTTTTTAAAAGCTTGATTGGTTGCTTTTACATCGATTTTAAAAGTTTGTTGTTGGTTTATGTACTTTTATAGCTTTCGTGAATCTAGTCTCCTTGTGATTTCGGATAAAACAATATTCAACCTCGTAGCAGAGTGAAACAGTCGGGTGGCTAACTTGACTCGATCTGTACTAACTTCATTTTGGTGCTGTAATTCGAACTTATACTTGATAAAAACAAATTATACTTGCTAAAAACAAATTAACACAGCAACTCAACGACGAAGATTATAGTACTCCATGCAATTCAAACTGTAATGAGCTCGAACAAGGCACGTCCGTGCCGTTATTAACAGACAATCAAGAATGGAAACTGATTTTAATGAGCGCATGCCAGCTCGCAATGGACCCAGTGCTAAATCGAGGAAACTAACGAAAATTGCCCGGGTGCGAGACTGCGCGTCATAGGAAGAGGCTGGGCGCGGGGAACCATGCCCACTTTTGACCCCTTTGTCTTTTCCCTGCCTTGTGATTCTGACTACGGAAATGAGATTTGAGCAGGCGAATATAATAAGGCCTAAGTTTAGAAACTTGATTGAGATTGTGCAGCCCAGGATTGTTGAGTCAAGTGTTGGACAAAACTGACAGTCTTCCATGATTGATGATACGACAACTTATGTAGAGAAATTATGCTTCATCGTCTTGTGTAGGCCTATTAGAAATTACATTTGGCCCCAAACCCTTGGAAGCAGCGATTGTGCATAATAATTGACTTGGATCTTTACCACACCCATTCCATCACAGGAAGACCCCCCAAAAATGCAACCCTGAAACATTTGCCTTTGTTAAAAAAAAACGTGATATGTACATTTTTATGTTTTGGATATCAGATTGAAGCTGAGAGCTTTTTCTTTCAGATACTGAACAAATCATGAAAACAGCACGTTGGGTTGCTGAGAAAATGCCAATTATGTAAAGGAAGTGATTTTCATCCTTTCCAAAAGTGCTTCAAATAGTTAAACAGTATGCCCATTGTGCAATTGCCTTCCATTTGTGCAATTGTTTTTAATATTTTGACATATTTATGATGCTGAAAAGGTTTAAAATATAATTAAAATGGATAAGATACCTGTTCAGGTGGAAAATAAAAGGTATTTCCATCAAATTCATTTGTACTCTTTTCATATTATGTGCCGTGTTGTTTGTAAGGATTAGGACACAATGCGCCACATGCATTTCATGCACAGATAGGTACAGTGTAAATCCCCTAACTTTGGTAATGCCATTGGAATGGACCAAAAAGAAGTTTTTGAACGAAAGAGCTCTCAGCTTTAATTTGATATCCAAAACATAAAACTTCACAGATCACGTTTTTGAAAAAAAACCCACATGTTTCAGGGTTGCATTTTTTGGGTCACACATGTACATGTTATTATCCTAAAACATTTCACCAAAATATCGAAGTACATTGTACCGAACAGGTTATATATAACCCATAACAACCCGTGGTTCTCGAGTCAAACACTTGTTTTTGTAAGTGGCCCACGTCTTGATCTTACAATTCAGCTTCAAGTAAATTTTCATGAAACAGTTTTCAGCTAAATACAGTTTCAGTCGGACATCAGGGACGTTGAACAAGGTGCAGCTGGTGATTGTTGTGTGAGTCGATGTCCACCTGTAAGGCCTAAGCCTCTTACCTGTCGTTGCAGTGACAGTTTTCAGTGTGTTATGGGATCTCAAAACGATCTGTTCTGACTTTAGTTCACTTGGGGGCAGGGCACTAGCAAATCAGAATGCAACAGGTGATTTTCTGATTGATTGATTCCGATGTTTTGTTCCAGCACTTCCTTCCTGTATTTGTGATGCTTATAGGGTTTTCGTGTTATTGAAACTGACGTGCCCAGGTTAGCGCAATCCAGGCGAACGTGACTTACGGTGATTGAGATGGAGAGGGAATCTTGAAAACACCTTGGGTCGGATAGGTTGTGTGTGATTCACATCGGCCAAGTGTGTGATGACTGTACTGCGCTTGCACAAGTGCAGATTCATCACGCCATCAAACTTAGCACGGGATGGCTACTGTTGGTCCCATGATAGATAGCCCATCCCGCCACTACATCGCCACCCCTCCATCACCACCTCCATCAACATCATACATCGTTGGGCATTGTCATCATCTTTCCTTTACTTTTAGTTTTAGGTATAGAAGAGATATAGGAGTATGAGACTACGCCTCTTTTTACGAATTTAAGTCATGTCCTTATTCTCACCTGAAAAATTCCATTTTCTCGTTTGAGTGGTGATTTGGTTAGCTGAGACATTGAGAGTTAATCTTACTTGGATGTCCTGAAATCGTGCACTCGTCTGCCGCCGTAACTCAACACAGGAAGAAAAGTAACTTTCACCACTCCGAGAGAACGTGCATCGAGATTAAGTCAGCGGGCTTGAGCCCTTGGGGCGGGACGCGTTTTTACCATGCCGGGCAAGCCGCACCGATGACTGGCTCTGCGTTTAGGGAGCGTGGACTTTTCTTCTTTCTATAGATCATTGGATTTGACTAATTATACAAAACCACAGCCACGGGCTAAACATCTGAAGCAAGTTAAGATTTGTATACCCTCTGGTCATTTCCCTTGGAGGGTTGTTTGTGAAGCTGATTTTGTGTTTACCCATACAAGGCCAGAATGTTTTTATGTTTATCAAAAGTTTGTCAAATCTCTAGAGGAATAGGGTGTCATCTTTCACTGTCGTCACTCATTTTGACTAGACTGAGGTACATCTAGGAATTGCATCATCCAATGCTGACAAGCACATGCCCCAAAGGCCACTCCTCCGTTCAGTCAAAGGAGAAAACGATATTTCTGTTTGCAAAGCCACTATGAAGATATATATTGGAAGGTGAAGAATTCAACAGGGGAAAGCATTTACACGAATGACTGGATGTACCTTATTTTTTTGGTGGCTTCATATTCTGGCTATCACTTTCTTTTATTGTGCAATTGACGCATTTTATGTTACTGTTTCCCATAGGGGGCCTACTTCTTTTTTTGCAGGAGTATTCATTAGTCTTTGATATAGAAAGGGTTACCTTTAACCACAAATCCTTTAAACTCCGCCCTAGTGTTACCCAATATACTGGGCATCCCAATACTCAAAATACAATCTTTTGATGAAACTTTACCCGAAAGGGAATCTTAGAAAATGTCAATCCGTCATTCGGATCTGTCATTAAAAAGAATTCATCAACCGCCAACGGAACTGCATTATCTAAATCCCTTGCGTGTTTTTCTAAGATCATTTGATAGTAAAAACTGGACATCTGACTCCTCTTGGGAAAT